ACCCAGAAGATGTGTTCCAGTTGCACACCTAAGGTAGTCCATCAGACCCCTAATGGACATTCAGTTTGTGGGACTAGGCTGTAGCTAGTCTGAAGCAAAACACTGAAATACAGAAAGTCAAGATGTCTGAGACATGTCTTCACCACTAGCTCTCTTGTTCTGCTCTGGTGATCCATTTCCATTATACCATGTTCCTGATGTGGGCATAGGCAGTCCTGGGTTGGTGCTGTGTGGAGCCACTTAGGTGTCAGTGCTGTGGGACTCAGTACTTTGAATCGGAGGAGGTCTTTTAAATTCAGCCGCAGCTGTGCATAAATCTGTACGGACAGATTTGGTCTGTCTATTGTTACATGCAACAAATGAAGTCTTCCAGTACCTGGTTTGCTGGGCAGTGTCAGGTCAAAAGATGAAGGTGACTGTTCCGGAGGTCAGATTGTGTCTAACAGGGGAGTTCAAAGCTTCTGCTAGACTTGAGCTGACTTTACTCCAAATCACATGTGTAAAGAGAGGAAAATTTTCACAGTCCGATGGACTTTCAGGCTTTTTATCCTGTTTTCGTAATGGTAGAAAAGTTCTTAACCCCTATTTATGGACTTTAAATCCTTTCATGACCACAAAGAGATGGGAATCAGTAGTGTTAGAAACTCAGATCTAGTTCACTGTGTGAGTTTTAATGGGATATATGGATCACTTTTGATTGAGGCTTGTCCAGTGTGTTCATGAATCTTCAGGGGTGAAGATTGCACAGTGTGCTTAGGTATCCTGTTCACTGTTCTTGTAGTTAGTAGATTTTTCCTAATATCTAACTTAAATTACTTTGCTACAAATTAAGGTTTCTTCTTTCTCTGTCATGGGGCAATAGAAACGCCTCCTCCTGTTTCCCCCCCCCCCCGTATGTAATTTTTCTACTATTACTGTTGTCATTTGTTTCTGGTTGTCATTAGTCGTTATGGGCTCGAGCAGTTTGTTCTTCAAGCCTTCATGATATTTTTGTGTGGAAATAGTGTGTGTTGATTCTCCACGTGTAAATTAAGTACTTGGTTTAAAGTGAAAAGGTTTGATCTTTGCCTTTCTGTAGGTAAGATGGTGATAAGAAAAAGTATTTAACTGGGGTGAAGTTTCCTTAAGACTTAAGTAAAAACTGCATGAGGGTTTTTTTGTTTTGTTTTGTTTTTGGGTTTTTTTGCCAAGAGATAAACCTAAAAGTTTCACTCCTGAAATTTGTTTCACTTTCTTCTTAAATTTGTTTTTTGAAGTAGACTATAGAGCAAATCAGTTTCATTATCCCCGTTTTGCAGATCCCAAGACTAATCCAAATGGGGAAAGTGATAGCTTAATTTTTTGGGGTCATTAGGAACCCAGTGCTCTCCACTGGCTTTCTCAAGTTCCTCTACTGATCTGATACTACAAATTTAGAAGCCTCTTTTCTTATTTTGGATTTTAAACGTTCTTCTGTACATCTGCATGAAAATTATCTTTAGGTAAGAACCAGGCGTGGTGAGGTCTGAACTGACTTTTTACAAAATGCTATTGAGTGTGCAGTTTAAACCAAGTGTATAATACATATTTTCCAAATGAGTACGTTTTGTTGCTGTTTTTGTCATCTGTTTACATTATTTTTTTCCCAAGGCAGTTCAGGGAAAACAGACTAAAAGAATTTGAAAAGGATGACAAAGAATAAGAAACTGAAAGAAATTTGGGGTGGTTTGGGTGTAGGGGAGGCAGAAGGATAGAAGCTAGATTCAGCTAAAATTGCCTTTTGTATACTCCTTTAAACTTTCTTGGTTTATGGTGCATACAGTCGCAGGAAAGGCAGTATTGGTAGCTCTGACTTTTCCGATGATACTGGAATTCTTGCCGATTCTTCTGCCACGCCATTTTTGCTGTCTGTTGGATATGGTGTGTTGGCAAAGAAAGACTGAAGAAAACAATGGTACGGATGGTGAGGAAGTATGTTTTCAAGACAAGATGCTAACAAAATTGGATGAGATATTAAAGAATG